ATTATATTGCATTTTCATTCAGTAATTAATAACTTTTGTTTTATATCAATAATTACAATTAATTATTACAGTGGTCAGCTTTTTACTGTAATTTACCTTCACCCAGCTCAGTGTCTGGTTCCTTCCTGCTCCCTTCACCTCCCTGGTTATTGTTGTACTTCAAATTTTCCTACAATATGCTTTATAGAATTGGGTTTACAGGCGGTTTACAAGTTGGAGTTTGTAACCCATAGACTGCCTGTGTACCTCTCCTAAAATAGGAGTGCCTGGGTAGTATAATAATACTCTCATCTGATAACTGAAAGGTTGAAGGTTCAAGTCTGTCTAGAGGTACCTTGGAAGATAGGCTTGGCAGTCTATTTCTGAAAAATCACTTCTTAAAGAAAAAAAAATCTATGGAGCATAGTTCTACTCTGACCCACCTGGGCTTGCTATGAGTTGAGGGTGACCTCATCATAACTCGTTCTAAAGAGAGAGTTATGTGGTGCGGTGATATAGACTTACCCTTGGTGGTGGTTGGGTTACCTGCATTGACCTGAATGCTTGACTTCATGCTTGATAGCATTGCCCTACTGGCTTGGATACTTTTTCTCATTTTAAAACAAAAGAACTAAATCCACTGCTGTTGAGTTGGTTCTGACTCGTATTGATGCATAAGACAAAGAATAACAGCCCTCTTGGGTCTTCAAGGCTATAAATCTTTGTGGGAGCAGATTGCCTCCTCTGTCTCCTGTGAACAGCTGACGGGTTTGAACTGCCAACCCTCTGATTGGCTGAGTGCTTTGCCTACAGTGCTGTATTTATTTGCACACTCTCGGGGATTGTCATCTGCCAGGTCCCAGCCTCCTCTGTTATTTCCAGGTGTCTGCTCGTTCCTGGGACCACAATGAAGTCTTTGCCCAGTTTGCTGGTGATCATGCGCTCCTCACCCCGGGATACTCTGTAATAGTGGACAAATTGGCTGAAGGACTAGACATTCATCTCAAATCTCCTGTGAGTGTTGACAATGACAGGCTTTTCTAGCTTTGCCTTGTTTGTGGAGGGTGAGGTATGGGGCTTGTGCGAGCTTTCATGTCAGCTGATATCTGCAAGGGCTTTTGTGACAAGTACAGTTGTAGCCCATGATCTCAGTCCACTATCTCAGTCAGAAAGGTGGCTGAAACTGTTTGGAAACAGTAGTGTAGATACATTTTCCTTAATAGTAAAGCATTGGAATATATTGCTTTAAAACCGATTACTCACAGCCTCCCTAGCCCAATGCACCTGTTTTCACCATTCCTTTTCCTGTCACGTCTTTGACCCTATATTTCTGTGTTGTGTGTGTATTTCACATTGTACTAGGAAGGTTCTCCCTGACCATCCCAAGTAGTGTTTGTGAATTTTAACCACTGCATGATAGTCCCTTCAATTAATTAAGTGGTAACTGTCGTTTGGATCTTGGAGTCTTTGGTTCTGTCCTTAATTTTCTTTTTCATAACTGTTTTTCTTGGGCAGGTACAGAGTATTGATTATTCTGGAGAAGAGGTGCGAGTTACCACTGCAGATGGTACAGTGCACACGGCACAGAAGGTGAGCCCTGAATTCCACCAGGGCAGCGTCCTTGCTGCTTGCCCAACTCCCTGCCCTTGGTTCAGTTCTGACCTAGAGTGCCCCCGTGGAGATTCAGAGTCCATAACTCTACACAAGGGCCTGCCTGTCTTCCTCCTTGGAGCGCCTGATGAATTCAAACTGCCCACGATTTGGTCAGCCTGAAATGTTGTGCACTATGCCACTGGATGAAAAAGAAAAGCAATCATTTCTAGCAGGAAGTTGCATTTGGCAGTTTGCTTGGAGTCTGAGTTGATTTCTGCTTAATTGTGCATAGACGTGCAAATCTGATTTAGTTAAACTTCCAGTCGTGCCTCGTTAACACTGTACTTCGCTTCATTGCACTTCGCAGATAGTGTATTTTTTAACAACTCAAACCAAGTGAGTCTGCCGGCACCTTTTTCCTTGCAGTGTGTGCTGGCTTTGCATCTGTTAATTTTTGGTAATTTTCAGAATATTTAAAAATTTTCTGTGGTAATCATAATGTGCACTTAGTAGACTACCGTCTACTGTAAACGAAACTTCTCTGTGTACTGAGAAATAACCATATGTGATTTCGCTTTATTGAAGTGGGCTAGAACTGAGCCCAGTACCTAGGAGGTAACAGATTCAAGAGCTGTTGGATGGAGCAAGTGGTCCTAGCACTCGGTTACTCACTGAAAGGTTTCTGGATGAAGTCTATCTAGAGGCACTTGGGATGAAAGGACTAGCTGTCAGCTTTCAGAAAGCCACCCTAGTTCACACTGAAAACCCTGGCTCACAGTTCTGCACAGGGGTCTCCATGAGTCTGTTGACTCTGTATGTAACAAGATTTCTTTTTTTTAGTATATGTGCTGCCAAGGCAAGCACAAGATTTCTTTTTTAAAATGATAGATTGGTGGCAGGTGTAATTTTAAATAATGCCTCATCAAATCAAGTTCACTTTGTTGTTATTGTGTGCCATCAAGTCCAAACTGTCTCACAGCTGACCCGCCAGTAGGTTTTTCATTAGTAAATCACATGGGTCCATCTTTCTCCTACAAAGTGGATGGTGGACTTGAACTGCGTTCCTTTGGGTTGGCAGTGCCACTACTTACTGCTCAGCCACCAGAGCTCATGGCACACTAGGCCAGAGAATTGAACAAGAAATTCCTTGGTCAAATTAGCTTTCAAAGTATTTTATGTTGGGGATCTGGTGTCAAGAAGCTGTGCTGCAGTTCCAAAGGAGCACGGTTCAAATCCACCAGATGCTCTGTTGGAGAAGGAGAGACAGTCGCCTTCTGTGCAGTCGGATTTGATTTGATGGTACACAGCAAGGGGGGAAAACAACAACAACAAAATACCTTGGAAAAAACCCATTTATTACATTCTGCTGTTAAGGTGATTAAGGTGAAATCAAGCCAGAAAACCAAACCCAGGGCTGCTGAGTTAATTTCAGTTCATACCCACTGTACAGCAGAGTAGAAATGCCCCCTAGGGTTTCTGAGACAGTAAATTTTTACAGAGGAAGCTGCCACATCTTTCATCCAAATGCTTAAGCACTTTGCCACCAGGGCTCCTAGGACTCTTTCTCTCTCTCTCTCACATCACCTTTGAGTCTAAACTGACTCCTAACTGACACTAACGTGGGTTTTTGGAGACTATAAATGACACAGGAGTAGTTTGTCTGTCTTTCACCTAAGGAGCTGCTGGAGGGTTCAAACCATCAGAGAGGCAGCACCTTGGGGTTAATAGTACAACGGCCTGTGGAGCATGCTACCAGAGCCTCCCTAGGATTAGATACCGCATTGTGGCACTGAGAAGTCCTGCAACGTTTCATTTTAATTCTCTGCTTTTTGCATTTCACATTTATTTTTTTACTATTGAACCCTTTCTGCATATAAAAAATTTGCATGTTTTTAATTTAGAAACTGTCAGAAACACTAAAATTAAAATACAGAATTGTAACTTTTTTTGTAAACTGCTTTTATGAGTAGTCCATAAAAGGAGTTACTGACTCTAATCCTGAAATCATGCTGCTGTTGTTGGGCACCTGCAAATTAGAACTGACCCATAACTGCCCTCCAGCAGGTTTTCAGAGGCAGAAAATCACACAGGAAGAGATTGCACATCCATCTTCAGTAGAGCTAGTGGATTCAAACCACATACCTTAGAGTTAGCCCAGTTCATTATCACTAAACCACCAGAGCTCCCTGAAATCATACTGAAAATTAAGTGCTGTTGGAGAACAGAAGAGCATGACGTGGAGTTGAAGAGATTCATAAAAGCCTAACTCTTAGGGGAGCTCTGGTGGCCTAGTGGCAAGGAGCTGCAACTATAATCCCAGAGGCGCACGGTTCGAATCCACCAGATGCTCTGCTGGGGAAGGAGGGACAATCTCCTCCTGTACCAGTCCAGATCTGATTTGACGGTACACAGACACACAAAATAATAAAATTTTTTTTAAAAACCCACAAAAACTAAGGTGCACCAAAAAAAAAAAGCCAGCCTAACTCTTTGTGGTTTCATATCCTGGTGTTACGGTGAACCTGGCTGGTTATGCCTCCCTCCCCTGCTGAGGCACCTTCCGTCTGAGCCTGAGTGGACACCCTGCCCTCTGTATGTATCCCAGCTCTCCAGATAAGCTGCAGGCTGTTGCTTCAAAGCCAGCTTGAGCATTTAAAGCAAATTAGTTTTATGGTAGCTGACACACATCACACAGCTTACATTAGAAGTCTTCCCAGGGAGCTCTGGTGGCCTAGTGGCAAGAAGCTGCAACT